CATCAAGGTGGCATGTACCAATGCCATCTCACTAGTCCAAGTGATCAATTTCAGTTCACAATTGATCATAATGAAAGGACTAAGAGTCAAAGGGAGCACATAAACAAGTCTAGTACCTGCTAATACTAACTGATAGAATAAATAAAGGGGAGAGTGATCCAACATGGGAAGCGAGATACTCAGCAGACTCATAGAATGGCAGATGTCCTAAACAGCACTCTGGCCTCAGAATCAGCCCTAAAGGCATTCTGATCTGGCTGAAAAGCCCATGAGAGTATTTCAGGCATGGAAAGCCAAGACACTCTGGCAAAAAAAAAACCAAAAACAAACAAATAAACAAAACCTAAATGAAAGATCTCTGTGAGTGAGATCCCAGTGGAAAGAACAGGTCTTCAAAGAAGGAGGTACCTTTCTCTGAAGGGAAATTTAAAAATTTATTGTTAGCTGTTGTTACCCTACCATTCAATAGAACACCAACAGGATTGTTTTTACAATAGGAAAAGTACTTTTTAATTCAATAAAAGGAAACCTTTCTGAGTTTTGGCTTATCTATCTATCTATCTATCTATCTATCTATATTTCTATATCTATCTATCTATCTGTCTATCTACCTACCTACCTATCTACCTATCTATCTTTACTTTTTGAGGGAGTTAACTTTAGAGAAGAACCCAAGAATGGTGCATCTTTTGTGAGCGCTTATACATTGCTATAGCTTATGGTACATAGATGATGTCCTCCATTTAATGTATTAAAATGAGGTAGATCTTTGCAATCGAATTTTACTATTAACTATCATAATCAAACTTTTTGAGGAGAGAGGTCCTGCATGGGGAGTTAGTTCACAGTGAATCCTGTTGTTAATTTAAAAATTAACACTCTTTTGTATGATGTCAGGCTCTTGACATTAACTGCCTAGGCTGTTGAAGCCTTTTGAATCCACTGACTCCTTCCGTATTTAGACAAGACCATAAACAAAGTGCAAGTTCTCCCTTCAGAGTAAAGTCCATCCTTCTTTGATGACCACTTCTTTCTGTTGGAGTTCATCCACAGGAGTCCTTCATGTAGGGCACTTTTTGACACATTGTTTTGGCTTTCCATGCCTGACGTGCAATAGCATACCGTACTTTTCTAAATAGCTAGAAGAGGCCGGCAGCGTGGCTCACTTTGCTAATCCTCCACCTGTGGCGCTGGCACTCTGGGTTCTAGTCCCCGTTGGGGTGCCAGATACTAGTCCCGGTTGCTCCTCTTCCAGTCTAGCTCTCTGCTGTGGCCCGGGAGGGCAGTGGCAGACGGCCCAGGTGCTTGGGTCCCTACACCCACATGGGAGACCAGGGGGAAATACCTGGCTCCTGGCTTTGGATCGACTCAGCACCAGCCGTGGTGACCATTGGGGGAGTGAACCAACGGAGGGAAGACCTTTCTCTCTGTCGCTGTCTCACTGTCTATAACTCTCTCTCTCTGTCTCTCTCTCTCTCACTGTCTAACTCTGCCTGGCAAAAAATAAAAAAAAAGATAAATAGCTAGAAGAAGGACTTCTGAATGTTCACACTACAAAGAAACCTTGAATATATGAAGCAACAGATGTTAATTATCCTAATATGATCATTAAAATGCATGTATTAAAATATTACATTGTACCCCAAAAATATGTACAATTACTAATTGTCAATAAATATAAATAAATAATAACAAAGGTTCTCAAAAAAAAAAGAAAATAAGTAAAATGGTCGATGGAAGAGGTGGACTTAGGAGGTATTTAGGCCAGGATACAGGATAGTGAGTTTTATGGCACTGACCAGATGAGAAGGAAACATTGCAGTTGCAAGGAAGAGATGTGGTAATTATGTAAAGGGTTTCTCTTTAGGATAGGAGTGGGACCAGCACACAGAAGGAAAAGATGGTTGGGCACGAATACCTCTGTAGTCCATTCAGCTGCCATGGACAAGCAGTTGTGTGCCTGTGTACATTTTTACATGAAGCTGTGTTTGAAAGAGCTATGAATTTATAAAACTCCTAGGTTATTTTTAATAGACCTGTTTGAACTTGAACCTAGCCTCCCAAGGGTCAAACCCCTGAATCATATCCACTAAAGGCTCAAGCAAGCATCTTTTCTCTCACTGATCTATGTGGAACTTCTGAAGTTGATATGCATTGTTCTCTCAAATGTGTAGCAGAATGTCATTAAAATAGGAGTTTTAATCTAAATACCAAGATACTACAAATCTCAGATTTCAAATGAGGTGCAAGATAGGCAAAACTTGAAAATGAGGTGTTTGTTAACTGGGTACTAACTCTTTTTTTTTTTTTTTTTGACAGGCAGAGTGGACAGTGAGAGAGACAGAGAGAAAGGTCTTCCTTTGCCATTGGTTCACCCTCCAATGGCCGCTGCGGCTGGCGCGCTGCAGCCAGCGCACCGTGCTGATCTGATGGCAGGAGCCAGGTGCTTCTCCTGGTCTCCCATGGGGTGCAGGGCCCAAGTACTTGGGCCATCCTCCATTGCAGAGAGCTGGTCTGGAAGAGGGGCAACCTGGACAGAATCCGGCGCCCCGACCGGGACTAGAACCCAGTGTGCCAGCGCCGCAAGGCGGAGGATTAGCCTAGTGAGCCGCGGCGCCGGCTTGGGTACTAACTCTTAAGACATTGTCCAATTCAAGACTGTTAAAAAGTTTAGAGTTGAATTTTTTATGTGATTAATAAAAGGCTGAATTTATTTTAAAGAATAACATCTTCCCTTTCCCCCAAATAGGCATTTTGCAGGCAAAAAGACTGCAATATATACGAGGTGTACATTTTGCTGCTTCTTTGTTTGCTTCCAATCCTTATACTTGTTTACCTGTCTGTGGTCTTCATCTGTAGTTTCTCTACCCTACAGGGTTGGACAGACCCTTGAAGGAGGGTCAGGAAAGCAGCATGTTATCTTCTTCGTTTGTCCTGCTAGGTGACCTGGCCAACCATCTCCAAATTTGACAGTATGATAAAATTGAATCCAACTAATTTTGTTAACTTCATGCCAATCCTTTTTATTTCAAGCCATGACAGATACTTCTCAGTGTTCACAGCACTACAGACTTATCCTTCTTGGGAGAGTTTGCAATGCTATCAAGTAAATGGGGTAGCTCATTTATATTGCCATTCTTCTCTCATTTCTATGTGTCTAAATTCCATTTATCTTTCCTTGCCTACCTTATGATGGTGGAGTGGCTTGAGAATTCCAAACAGAAGGAGGCCACACAGCAGACTCGTAGAATGACAAATGCCCTAAACAGCACTCTGACCTCAGAATCAGCCCTTGAGGCATTCAGTTCTGGCTAAAAAGCCCATGGGAGCATTTCAGGCATGGAAAGCCAAGACATTGTGGCAAAAATATCCTGTGAATGAGACCCCAGTGGAAAGAAGGGGCAATCAAAGAAGGATGCACTTTTCTCTGAAGGGAGGAGAGAACTTCCACTTTGCTTATGGCCGTGTCTACTGACGGAGTTTGTGGACTCAAAAGCCTTCCATAGCCTTGGCAGCTCATGACAAGAGCCTTGGGTGTTCATTGACGTCATAAATAAGAGTGTCAATTGTTAAATCAACAATAGGAGTCACTGCGCACTTATTCCCCATGTAGGACCTCTGTCTTTAATGAGCTGTACTATGAGAATTAATGGCAAAACTAATCTTCAAACAGTACTTTATACTTTGTGTGTCTGTGTGGGTGCAAACTGGGAAAATCTTTACTTAGTATGGAGTTGGTCTTCTGTGTATAAAGATAATTCAAAATAAATCTTAGTGAAGAATTGGATGGGAGAAGGAGTAGGAGGTGGGATGGGAGTGGGGGTGGGAGGGTGGGTATGGGAAAAAGAACTGCTATATTCCTAAAGCTGTACATATGAAATTAGTATTTATTAAATAAAAGCTTTCTAAAAAAAAAGAAAAGAAAAAAAGAAAATTCCAAACGGGATCTTTGCTTGGTAAATTGTGGACTCATTGATTCAAATTTAAAGCATTTCATAAGACTTTCCTGATCTATTCATTTCAAAGCTGTTTCTTCCTGATAAGATCTCCCCTACATTCTCCCCACCTGTCTGTTTGCAATATAGAAGAACCCAGAGCCAACAGTAATAATAGAAAGGATGTGTGTAGGATCTCTTCTTCCTCAGTATACTATAGGTGTCTGGTGAACAAAAAACTCTCTTTCGTGTATATTCATGGTTAGCATTGGTATAAAGATAATGTCGTTGTCTGATCCATACAATACTATCATAAGGAAAGAGTATCAGGGCCATTTCTCTGAATCCCAGGAAGGTGTCCCATAGCTAAGGAGAATAAACGCTCATCATCATCACAATGGTGGTGTAGGAGACATGAGCTTCTGTGGCTACCTCACTCACAGCAGTTGTTCCTTCAAGCCACTTCTGTGGGAACACCCAACTTATTATCTTGCCATGGACAACTGCTATTAGAGGACATTTCACAGACACAGCTTCCCAAACTGTTTTATGCAGGTCAAGTGTCTTTCTCTAAGAACATTATTTTCTCCAAACTTAGAGAAGTCAATAAGACTTGAGGCAGTAGAGCTCACTGATTCAGACCCGGGCTTTCTCTTGCCCAATGACACTATCACATAACTGGACATGGTTCTCAGGGCAACATAATCTGAGAGAATAAGGAATACTCTTTTTCTATAGCTGTGGTTAGAAAGTAGTTGCAAACAACAGGTTTAAGGTGTTGACAGACGTTCTTTCCATTACTGCAAAACTGAAAAGCATTCAATAAGAAACATTCAGTGGGAGAAAAGATGAGAAATTGACTAATAATGTCAAGAAGATGGAGATATTCTTATTTTGGTCTTCTCAAAGACAAACAAGAAGAGGCTAAAGTAAGCCTTCTGGAAGAGTCACTAGGGGCATTCCAGAGGCCTGAAGCTGAGAGACTAAGAGCTAACTGTGACGTGTGGCAGGGCTGTGTTGATTCTCAGTTACACCTGACTGACCAGGACAGTCTTCATCAGGGTGCTAGGCTGCTCGGCTGCTCCCCGACATCTCCAGGGGTCCCTGAGGAAGGCTGCCTCCACTTTCACCCACCTCAGGGGTGTCCTGCAGAGCTCTCTGGAGAACCTGCTTGAGAGTCTGTCCCTGCCGCCGCTGTCTAAAGGAGCCAACAAAGACGTAAATGATGGGGTTGACAGAGCTGTTAACACAGGACAGGAGAAGTGTAACCAGGTAAAAATGGGGCGGGGAATTAAATGGAAATTTTTTATTCCACATTAAGAGAGCCCAGTTAATGCCACAGGGCAGGCCACAGAGGAGGAAGACCAGCACTGTGAGCAGGATGGTCACATACAGCCTGATCAGTGGGAACCTCCGTGAGCTACAGAGGATCCTGAGCAGCAGGGCCAGGCTGGACGCAGAGAGAACCAAAAAGGCTAAGATCAGTAACCCGGCAGCAACGAAGTTAAATATCTGACACCAGTGATTAGCACCATAGTTCAACAGGGACCTACAAGTGTACATCTCCAGTATGCTCAGAGGCAGGGACAGGGCCCAGAGCAGGGCACACACCACAGCTGACAGGTGTCTGGGACGGCGGCAGCGGTACCAGATGGGCCACAGGATGGACAGGCAGCGCTCGGTGCTGACGGCGCTTAACGTGCTTAGGCCGACGATGTAGGAAGAGGCAGCTACCGTGAGTAAGAAGCTGCCAACAGGGAAGGGAGTGGAGAACAGATGGAGGAATTCCATTACAAACAGCACGGACACAACTACTTGGCAGCAAAGGAAGAGGAAGTCTGCCCCGGCTAGGTTGAGGATGTAGACAGAGAAGGCATTTCTGCGCATGCGGAAGCCCAGGAGCCAGAGCACAGCCGCGTTTCCCGGCAGCCCAGCCACTGCCGTGACGAGGAGCACCACTTCCAGGATCAGGGTCTTCTTGTTCCCTATTCGAGTAGAGGTCTCATCACTTCCATTCAGTGTTCCGTTTTCCATCTTCCAGGCTGGAATGCTTGAATTCGTGCTCAGAAAGCCGCCTGTGGTGACCCTGGGAACACAAGAGGGACGTGAATGCCTGCTGCGTGACTCATTCTCAAGATCACCTGGCTACATGGGAATTACTGTCCCTGAGCCACAGGGGAGGATGAGTGGGAGAAAATCACAACCTCTCACCTCCCTCCGGGAACGCTGACCTTTTCATGGCATTGGACTCTGTTTACAACTCTGCTTTCAAATTTGATCATCTATTTTGTCTCCCTCATTAAACTCAAGGATCTGTAATGCCTAGATCTCTCTGGTCTTCACTGTTATTCATTACACTATTCTTATCCTCTAGCACCTGTGCTTAGAGATTATCAATTGTAATATCCTTATTTTATGCAAGAATCTGAGGCTTTAGGTCTACAGAAGATTTTCCTGTGATCACCACGCCAAGATCAGGTCCAACCCTGGTTTCCTGGACACTTGTACAAGATTTATCTGCTACACTGGCATTTGGTTTGTTCTGCTGGCACATCATTTGTTATTCATGAGGTGCTACTGAGAGAGATCTTCACACAAACACAGAACCCAAGACAAATCATCAGGGGCTCCAGAGACTCTTAGTTTCCCTGAATATTGATTCTCCTTCTCTGTTACATAGTGATCCTGGTAGTTTTAAATCAAATAAAGAATCCTACTTTTCAGCCTCTCCTTATGCTAGATAACACCACGTGACTAGGTGCTAGTGATGGAAGTAAGCAGATGTGATGTAAGCAACCCCGGGTTGTGGGTTAATAGTAGGAGCATAGACTTCCATTCCCCTCCTGCTTCCCTCTGCACTGGACCTACTTCTCTCCAGACAGAGGAGAACAAAACCAGAAGGAAACATGGTGTCTGGTGTCTTGGATTCATGAATTTAGATCTAACAATTTTCTTTCTTACTGAAGTCACTCATACACAGAGTTCTTTTTATAATAGTCAGAACCATAAACTTAAAATCTTATAAATACCTTTGTACTCCAAATTTTGTCTTGAGTTGCATTCCTTTCTCAAGGCTTTTGTGATGTTAGTGAGGGGTTATCCCAAAGAAGTGACACTAGATATAGACATGCAAATAGAAAGTTGGAAGAAATAGAATGAGACATTGACCCAATCGCATTGAGTTCTGGGAATTACAGACTGTGAGGAGGCGATGGGAAGGCAGGAGTTTTCTCCACTGCTGTTATGATCTCATGCGCGCTTGTTTCCACCCTCTTCTGTATGCAAGGAGACATCTCTGTATTGTAACTGTGGGATTCTTTTCACTCTATTTTCTTCTGGTGAGAAGAGACTGAAGGGCAGGGGGAGATTGAGTGTTTTTTTTAAAATATTTATTTTATTTATTTGAAAGACAGAGTTATAGAGAGAGGTAGAGAAAGAGAGAGGTCTTCCATCTGCTGGTTCACTCCCCAGATGGCCGCAACGCTTCAGGCCATGGCTTTAACCCGCTGCGCCACAGCGCTGCCCCTGCCTTTTTTACAAACTTCTTGGCTTGCTGTCTGCTGGGCTGTGGGTTGCTGGTGGCAGTGTGGCAGTGTCACTTTGCCTAAGGACATCAGTCTTGTTCTGTAGCCCTTTCCTATGGCCACAACCTCAACTGCATTTCACTAACTGTTCTCAAAAATTTTCTCCTTGCCTCTTCAAATCTATTAGTGGTAACAGATTTCCACTATTGCTTTTATTATAGGACTTCATTTATTGTAGGTTTTCCTTAGCTGTGATCACACCTTTGTAAACAGTCTTTTTATTGAACTACTCTAAATGACATCTTTAGACTCTACTTTGCGTTTTCTGCTGGGATAATTACAGATAATAGGGATGAAATGAGAAAAAACTTGGAATGGCAAGAAAATGTCAACATTGAGATTAATATGATTTGGCTTTGGGAAACCATATCTGCATACAACCTTACTTCCCAAACTAAAAATAAGATAAAATAAAATATTTCTCTCCATAGTTTCAGATTTGAATGGTTGAAAAGAAAGGGAGGTTATAGGGGAATGCTATAAACTGGCTCCATTCAAACTGCTGTCTGCTTGTACTCCCAGCATCCAAAGCTGATGATTCTGAGTGATAAGTGTATTCCAGGTGGAATAAGACAGAAAAATCAAACTGTGTTTCAAAGAAGATGATCCCTGAACAAACTCTTACTTTGGCACCATTCTTCCTTCCAGTGGTGGGGAGTTGAAAAGGAGGAGCTTTCCTGAGGTTGGCAAACAACAAAGGATGCTTTTCTACCCTCCACTTGGGAAGGTGTTTGCAGGAAATTGAGGGAATTCTTGTGGCTCTGATTCCCTGTACAGCGACACTGGAAAATGACAGTGTGAGACAAGAAATGGCAGAAGATGTTTCTCAGCAACAGCCCTCACTCCAGTCATTCATCTTGGTCTTTCTACATCCTGTGCCATCTGACCCTTCTCCCTGTAAGGATCCTTGCAAACTTCAGAAAGTAGAGAGCAGGCCCATCAAGCAATTTGAGCTTTTACAACTAAAGGAGATTGTGATCTTTTCTGTTGGACATTAAAAGACCATATTGCTTGGCTTACCTGATATTTTAATTGAATAACAGAGGAATGGATGTACATTAGTTCTGTTTGAGATGACACTCAAGTGTAAAGTGAAGTGTAAAGTCTCCAATAATCTCATTTCCCAATAATCACCAGTTTGCACAATTTTAATGATGAATCATTTTAAAAGCTGATATTCTAGTTTTGTGTAATAAAACTATGTGTTTATTTTTTACTTTATCAGTATTAACTACTGATATGTTGCATATAAAAGATAAAAGATATCTTATAAAAGATAGGGCATTTAGCACACACTAACTGTCATGATAAAACTTTTCTTCCACATCATGAATAGATTTATTTTAACTCATGAATTTTCTTCTCATTGCTTCTAAGTAATCCTATGATAAGTCTTTTGAATTCCTTTTCAGGAATTTCATCAATCTCTTCATCTTAGCATTCTAATATTGAATTGCTGTTATGTTCCTTTGGTGGAGTCATGTTGTCTTCCTTATTCTTGTTTCTTTAATTTCTGCATTTATTTTTAGGCATTTGTGGAAATATTTGTTGGTTTTTTTCTTCCAATAGCTTTTATCTCTTAACCATTATTCTGTAGTTTAGTGGAGTGTCTGCTGTTTCAGTGAATACCAAGAGGTATGTTCTACTGGATGGCCAGGGGGCTCTGATCAGTGCTTCTGGGTGGGGCGATTATCCAGGATGACACCCAAGTTGAGCATGGTAGATCTCCCTTAACAGCAAGGGAAAGGTATGATCACATCTGTTGGTGTAACCACACCCTCATCTTCTCTCTTCCAAGGACATCAATGCCCTGGCTTAGCCTACAGTGGATGCAACACTCACCAGTGCTGCCACATGAATGGAACAGTGGATCTCTGCAGTCCTTGTGTGAGCGTGGATCCTACTACAATGAACCACTCCAGGCAGTTGAGGAGTGCTGAGACTCTGGTACCGTGCAGAGTGATTACCCAGAGACCAAGCTACACCCTTCACCATATCGTGCAGTCACAGAGTTCTCACTGTCTCAGCACTTAGGGAACTACAGTCACAGGGTGCAGAAGAGCCACTCTACCCTGCTAACCTGTCCCATCTATGGAGAGGTAGAGAAATTCCCAAAGCCAGCTGCCTATGGGTATTCTGCCTTTGTGGTTTGATCCTTTAGTCTGTGGGGTATGCTGAGAGGCTGTAGGCACCTCAGAGTCCTACACTGGTACCCAACCCCTGTCAATTCTCCCAGCCAGACTCAAAGTCAGGGCGGACATGGATTTTTCTCTCTGGTAAGATCACTGGATCACACACATGCATGAGAGCTGCTGTAGCCACCACTCCTGTCAAAATGGTGCTTTCTCCCATCTGGTTGCCATGCACATGAGCCACCACAGCTGCTACTGGTGTCACACTGTCATGTCTCTACCTCAATATGACATTGTTAACTAGACTAATTTCAACACATCTTGAGCCAAAGTCTGTTGTTGGCTTTATCAAGCTGAAAAGCTTCTCCATGGCAAAGGAAACACTCAGCAAAGTAAGAGGTAACCGACAAAATGGGCAAAAATAGTTGCAGACTATGAAACTGATAAAAGATTAATATCCAGAATCTATAAAGAGTTCAAGAAATCCAACAACAACAAAACAAATAATCCAGTTAAGAAATGGGCAAAGGACTTGAACAGGCATTTTCAAATGACCAACAAACACATGAAAAAATGCTCAGGATAACTAGCCATCAGGGAAATGCAAATCAAAACCACAATGTGGTTTTCACCTCACCCCAGTTAGAGTGGCTTTCATACAGAAACCAACAAACAACAAATGCTGAAGAGGATGTGGGGAAATAGGTACTCTAAACCACTGTTGGTGGGAATGTAAACTAGTACAGCCATTAAGACAGTATGGGGATACCTCAGAAATATGAAAATAGATACATTAAATGATACAACAATCCCTCTCCTGGGAATTTACCCATTGAAATGAAATCAACATATGAAAGAGTTATCTGTACCCGCATGTTAATTGCGACTCAACTCACAATAGCTAAGATATGGAATCAACCCAGATGTCCATCAACTGATGACTGGATAAAAAGTATGGTATGTATACACTCTGGACTAATACTCAGCTGGAAAAAAGAATGAAATTCTGTCTTTTGCAACAAAATGGATGCAAATGGAAAACATTATACTTAATGATATAAGAAGTCTCCCCCAGTCATGTTTTTCCTGAACTGTGGTAATTACTAGAGTATCAGAGATGTAATGAAGGGGTCAGTGCTGTGGCATAGTGGGTAAAGCCACTGCCTGCAGTGCCGGAATCCCGTATGGGTGCTGGTTCAAGACCGGCTGCTCCACTTCCTATCCAGCTGTCTGCTATGGCCTGGGAAAGCACTAGAAGATGGCCCAAGTCCTTGGGTCCCTGTACTCACATGGGAGACCTGGAAGAAGCTCCTGGCTCCCGGCTTCAGATCAGTGCAGCTCCGGCTGTTGTGCCCAATTGGGTAGTGAAC